CGAATGGGCATTCTCAGGAAACTGCCGCCGTCGTGAGGAGGGCTTGGCGTCTCCGGCCCTGCCCTGGTGCTGAGGCGAAAGCTGCCGTGCCGCAGCCGAGGTGTGCTGGTCTGGTCGCCTCGCTCGCCCTGCTTCGTGGTCTGGCACGTTGTGGCCTGAGGTAACGTGTTGGACTGTGAGCTGGCTAGCTAATGTGCTCTGCTCAGCTTGGCAGCCGAGCCAAAGCGCACTTTGCTCCGTCTTGGCCAGTGAACTTGGCTTGCCAGTGCTTCCCCAGATGGCAGTTTAGTTGCCTGTCCCCCTGCTAATCCTGCTGTTTATTATTAGCTAGCTAAAACCCAACGTAGGTTTGGTAGTTTGGAGAGAATGAACCCTAGTGCAAATCCAGGTGTTTCCCTCCAGCTGTGTGCTTAAATCCGTGCTACGGTCCTGAGGCCGGGGCTTGCCGCAGGTGGCAACTTTCAAATGACAGAAATCAAAGTTGCGGGCAGCTGCTGAATGCTGTGGCCATAGATTGTTTATTTTGTGCAGGACAAGACGAAGGAGTTAGCTGTCCTGATTTAAATTGCAGTTTTGAATTTTCACATTTGACTAGCTAATGCCTCTTGCGGTATCGATTAGAGTTCTTCATTTCCTGTCCTACAGTTGTTTATTTTACAGCACTTAGTACTGCGTTAGTTCAGCATCTCTTCTCGTGGGAATCCCCTTGCAAAGTTCCCCTTCTGCCTCTGTCTCCGAGAATTATTCACTTCACCATAAGACCACATAGCTTTCACAAAACCTTTTATTCGCATGCAAAACGCTGTTGCAAAGAGCTAAGATCCAGCAACAGAAAAGGCAAGTCACAGTTGGCCTCCTCACCACACGAAACAAAGTTCTGATGATAGGGTATCATGCAGTGTACTTAAACACTAATGTAGCAGTAACAAAACACGTGCATTCCTTACAGCGTGTCAGTTGTGTCTTTCCTGTTACCTGTCACTTCATTCACAAGGCTGAGCAGAACCACTGCTGATAACAGACAGATGCAAATCTCGTACCTCACCGCGGAGTAGACAGTACCATCTGTACGCCAGAGTGCTCTATAATTCTCGGCATTTTACTGACTTTGCTGCGAAATTCAATCAAAACAAACCAACCCCGTGACCCTTATTTTTATGCTGGGAGCCTTACAATAGCGAATAGCATAGCGAGCATTTCCTCTGTGGCAAATAACCTGAAGGTGGTTCTGAAGGAAAAACCCTCTTAATATAATGAGTGTTAACTGAAAACAAAATATGGCCATTTAAAGGGCACTGTAGCTAACTATTCCATTGCCAAACTTTCAGATGAAATTTTTCCAGAGTTTGTGCTTTCAGATCAATTGTCCAGAATTCCTTTGTCTTGCAGTGCAGAAATGTGGTTTTTTTGAGCAAAATTCTACAATACACTGAAAATGGAAAATTAATTTTAGGAAGAAATACTGACAATTATTATTTCATATTTGGTTAAATAAATTCTCCATTTAATTTGGGTCTGCAGCAAAAATTTCTTTTCCGGTATCCATCTCACTGAATTTATTACAAATCTTCTGCTAAGCAAACAAAATACTACGTGCAGATGATGTAGCTCATCTGCTGCACCTTCTGTGTCATTGCACTATTATTGAAAATCATGTAATTGGGGCAGTACCTGCAGTGAACCTTAGAGTGATAAGCAGGAGCGACACCGGTGCTGGGCCTGAGTGGGAGGCGGAGGGGCTGGGGGCTTTGCCGGGCGGCCGGCGTGGTCCCCTGGGCCTTCCCCGAGGGTTGCCAAATGGAAATGACCTCACCCGCAGCCAATCGGGGGGCCCCAGGGGTACAGCTGGATGGAAGCCATACTCCACTTAAGTAACAAGACATGACATACCATGTGCTAATGCTAAATAATTTATCCCTCAGGCATATAGTGAATTGCAAAGCCAAGCTGAGGCCTGGTCAACAGTTTGTAGTTTAAATTAAAACTGGCTTTTCCATCTTAAAGGGAGGGGGTTGTCAGCTGTTGTGATCAAAATTGGAATGCAGAAATCTGGCTTCTCTCCTCTCCTCTCCTCTCCTCTCCTCTCCTCTCCTCTCCTTTTTGGGGATGTACTCCACATATCTCTGTTAACATGCAGGAAAACCTTAGAGCAAGTTTGAAGTCACTGTGAATAGTGATGTCCAATATATCCTAAACTGAAGCTATTCCCAAGTTTGGTCATATATGTATTTGTGTTACAAACGTTATATGAGCGTCTCCATAGCAGAGTCATAAATATGTCTCATTAGGAATGCAGAGGCATTTGCTTCTACTTAGGCTGATGATCACGCCCAGTCAGCCTCTCATCTGGATGCTTTGAGCTAGCAGTACGCAGAGGCTGGATATGATGTCAACCACAGCATTTCGTTGCCTGCTGTTGGCCACTGGAACTCACAGCATAGCTTTTCCACTTCAGTGGTCCAGCTAAGCTTAACCAAACCTTTGACATACTTTTGTTAAAATACAGTACAGCTCTTTCTTAAGAGCTGGGTGCCACAACATGCTAAACAACACTGCCACTGAAACCACGAGAAGTTGAAAGTAGTCAGCACCTTCCATAATCAATCCTTATGCAGCACTTTACAAAAATGGTGGCTCAAATATTCTTTAATATTCCAGTGTACTATTGATCAAGAAATGAATAGTTAAAATAGACACCATATTGGTGGGAAGGAGATAGGAATTGCCTGTAAATTATTTTAAGATAGAAATTCAAAGGGCCTGTGGAATAAGTGAGAATATATTTGCCTAGTGTCTACGTGTTTGGCTAGTTAAAACCTGGAGAGCATGAAGTGGTACAGAGTTAAAAGGAGCATGTGGAAAAAAATACAAAACAAATTGGTAGTGTCTCGGAAAGGTCTTCAGGGAATTCAGCTTTATTGCTACAATAGTACACTTTCCAGTATGCAATTACTCGTTGTCATGGAAAAGGATTTTGAAGATCTCTCCCTTTTTGGATGCTGCAAAGCATGCTTAATTTAAGTAAGAGGTTGCACTTGATTTTTCCTTTCTATATTTGTTTACTTATCTAGGTTCTTGTATGATTGTCAGGCCACTAACCAAGTTCACCTTAGATAACAAAAAGAGAAAAAAAAAGCCACTGAAAAAAATGCAGCAGCAGCTAAAAAATTAGTATATTATTTATTTTTAAAGTTACGTAAGTTCATAGTGTGCATTCGGTGATAGGGAAAGCTCTGCTATTAATAATATTCAGCCTTGGCAAAAATGTATTTCAGTAATTGATCATTCTTTTTTTACTCAGACATTTGTAAAATGAGTAACAAAGCCTTTGCATCTAAGTCCAAGTAGGAACAGAATTTGGCAAATCTAATTCCTTCCTGGATTTTCGCAGCTCTACTTCCTTTAGGAAGTTTTTAGTCAATGGGAAACAAAGGCTTATTGAAAGGATTAAAGTTACAACTATTCTCTTTGTTTTAGAGCTTCAATCACGG